TTAAGACGGCTACTAATATACAGTGGACGTTAGCTACAGTCTCCTACAGTCTTTCTCCTGGCGGCACTGTTGCAAGGGAGGCTCCCGATGCTGGAGCATTTTCATTTGGGTGCATTGCTACTGAAAGCCAGTTATGTATGGAGATCATTCATACCTTTTAGTAGGAAGATTGATTAGAAACCAATGACTTCAGTCTGCTTCCTTGCTCTCAGGGATGCCAGGAAGGGTGGGGTCTAAAAGAAGAAAACTGAGACTCTATTTAAAATTCATAAGCAAAAAAGTGAAGACATGGCCCTAAGTGGGACACTTTTTCAGCCACTAGAGATGAAAAGAACTGTGGTAAGTGTGATAAGTCCTTTCAAAGATAGAAGATCACTAGTGTAGCTCTCTATGTTTACCCCTGGCCTTCTAGCCTGTGATATTCTTAGAAGGACATATCTTGAAGCATTGTGTGCTAGTTGTCTGTTGCTTGAATTGTAGCTGCTGAAACTCAATTCAGTGATCACACTACAGGAGACAAGGAAGGGAGAGTGGGCCCTGATGGTTGATTGGCTCTTGGGCATAAGAAGCAGGTGACAGAGCTTCTTTTTTGTTGTCATTTTGGGTGTTTTTTTTATTTTTATTTTTTTGAGACAGTGTCTCACTATGTAGTTCAGACTGGCTTTGATCTTATTATGTAGCACAGGCTGGCCTCAGCCTGGAGGTGGTCCTTCTGCCTCAGTTTCCCAAGTACTGGGATCACAGGTATGCACCACCACACCTGGCCATGATACAGCTTCTCTAGGGTCAGAGAACCTCTTTGTTCACTAAGCAGAAGATCAGCATCTGAGGAAACACGCCAGGGAGGACCACCCGGTAAAAGAGGCAGATTACCCAACTCCTCCCTGTTTCTCCAAGGGCTATGCCCGTCCCCTGGACCTCCAAGGGTGCTGGGCCATTGTCAGTTGCACAGGGCAGAGTGTGGGAAGGAATGTGGGAGTGTATTTGTAAACAGGGAAAAAGAATTTAGGGTGGCCCCGTCTTCATGGAGACATCAAGGGCGAACAGGTTGGAGGAATTCCTTCCATATTTAAGTTGAGAGTGAATTTTCCTGTCATTCAAGGTACAGGTTAGGTCTGGTGCAGTGCAGTGTTTTCACAAGGAGTTCCCTTTGAGGTGAGCAGTGCTATTGCTTTACAGTCCAACTCTTGTGTTCTGAGCTTTAGTTCAGAGGAACTGTGTCCATGCTGTTCATTTCTGTTTAAAACCGTCCTTCTCTCCTACCAACTCCACACACCTTTTCCAGCATTTGTCTTAGACATAAGCTTTTTCTCTAAGTCTCACTGTGGTTCTCTTCCCATCTCACAGCTGTATATATATATATCTGTATCATTCTGCCTATCACACACTTTAAATGTTCTGCCATCTCATTAGACAGTGAGCTACATGACAATAAAAACATCCCCATCTCTGAACCACTATGAGTACAATTTGATACACAAAAATGCGGAGTAAAAGTTGAATGACAAATAAGTTAATTTCCATAGAACCTGGAGAGGAGATCATAAATGAATCTCTAGGCAGAAAGCCCACAGAACTGCTTAACCTTAGGAAAAAAATACAAAAATATCCCTATACACACAGGTGAGAAATTTTAAGTCGAGACTAACGTTTGCTGAGAACAAAAATTGTTGGGGTACAACACAGCTGCCTGAGAACAGAGTCTTAAAATTAATTCTTATGCTTTGTGAGGTTATGAAGAATCAGCATCCTCCTGATAATGGAGGCTTTTTAAAAAGTGTTTCAGAGTATAAGTGATTTACTTTTTATTTCTTGTGGCAGTCTTCAGAAAGGCAAGAACTTGAATCAAAGTCCATTTCTGAAGTCGTTAATAGTTACAGCCAAGAATTCACAATTGTGTTTGTGACAAATAATTTACTAAAGCCCAAGTTTGTAAAAGGGTGTTGTTAAACTGGTAGTTCAATAGGGAAAATATCATGGACTGAAAAAGTGTAAGGAAGTCATCTTACTAGCCCCATAATACTTATCTTGAAGGTGATATTGAATTACCACCTGCGGATAACTGTACTAATGATAGATTAAAGTGGTAGATTGAGTAACTCAAAATAGTTTATGCTTTTCTCCCTTTTTTGCATGGCACAACTTGATACAGAAATGCTAGCATTTTGTGGAGATCTGAGTTACAGACCCTTCGGTTGTTCTGAAAATTCTCTATGAGAAGGGTAATTTCATACGATAGCTGTGTGAGTGAGTGGCCCAATTCCTATGACTCATTGTAAAGCTGGGCAGTTGAAGCTCGAAGATGGGCTAGACTCCTTAGCAGTTTCCCCTTGGCAGTGACAGGCCCAGCCAAGAGTCCAGGGTACTAACTTGCAGGCCAGGGCCTTTTCTACCACATCATTTGCCAGTTTAGTGTTAGAAACTATTTTAAATCCTTCACAATATTATTTAATTTACTCCTCACAGAATTTTATATTTATTTATTTATTTTTTGGTTTTTCCCTGGTACCGGGAACCGAACTCACGACCTTGCGCTTGCCAGGCAGGCGCTTTTGCCGCTGAGCTAAATCCCCAGCCCCTCACAGAATTTTATAATTGGGAGCCCAGAGAGCTACTCAGTGGGTAAGTGGAGGTGCAGGAATTCAAAGATAGGCAATTTGGCTCAAGCTTGGATTTTGGTTAAATGGGAGTCGTGTCATTCACAAAAATTATTTTTCTGATATTTTGGAGCAAACCATATGTCCACTGATGTTGCCATCATAATAATAAGAGAGCATCATTTAAGTTCTGAGAGCAGGTGATATGGAGACAGAGGATCCTGGCATTTTCTTACTGAAGCTTCAGCTGCCCTTTAGAGAAAATCTTCTCGAGCTCTAATGTCAGTCAGTGATGATTCCAGGTGTTTTGCATATTAACAGGACCTGTGATTGGAGCAAGTCAGGATATGCGTACCGCACCATGTAAAATAAGTTTCTGGACTGCTCTCACTAGGACCATGTTCACACTGTCGCTTAGGTGGAAAAGACAATGGCTCTTGGTGGGAACCAGAGTGGTGGGATGACAGAGTTTGTCCTGGCGGGCTTCCCAGAACTCAACGGCACAAGAACGGAACTGTTTTCAGTGCTCCTTCTTGCCTATCTGCTGACTCTGACCAGCAATGTGTTGATCGTGGGAGTGGTAGGAGCTGATACTCGCCTACAAACCCCCATGTACTTCTTTCTGGGTCACCTGTCCTGCCTGGAGATTCTGATCACTTCGGTCATCATTCCTAAGATGCTGAGCAGTTTCCTGTCGAGGCAACACACTATTTCCTTCTCCGCATGTGTTACTCAGTTTTATTTTTATTTCTTCCTTGGGGCTTCGGAGCTCCTCCTGCTGGCTGTCATGTCTGTGGATCGCTACCTGGCCGTCTGTCATCCTCTGCGCTACCCCTTGCTCATGAATGGAGCTGTGTGTTCACGCATGGCCTTGGCCTGCTGGATGGGAGGACTCTTCCCTGTGCTTGGTCCCACAGTGGCAGTGGCCCTGCTCCCTTTCTGTAAACAGGGAGCTGTGGTACAGCACTTCTTCTGTGACAGTGGGCCACTGCTGCACCTGGCATGCACCAACACCAAGAAGCTGGTGGAGACGGACTTCATCTTGGCCTCTCTCGTCATTGTATCATCACTGGCAATTACTGCTGCCTCCTATGGCCACATAATCTTGGCTGTCCTACGCATGCCCTCTGCTTCAGGTCGCCAGAAGGCCTTCTCCACCTGTACATCCCACTTGATGGTTGTGACCCTCTTCTACGGAAGTGCCATTTTTCTCTATGTGCGGCCATCGCAGAGTGGCTCTGTGGACACTAACTGGGTAGCAACAATGATAACAACGTTTGTAACACCAGTGCTGAACCCATTCATCTATGCTCTGCTCAATGAGCAAGTCAAGGAGGCTTTGAAGGACATGTTCAGGAAGATAGCAGCCAGCTTTTTAAGGAGTCTTTCACCCGCTGAACACTTCCTTAAGAAAACAGTAGAGTGAGAGTGAAGGAATGCAGCAACCAATCTGAAGTCCAAATAGCTTCCTTATCATTTTCCCATCACCATCGTGGACATCACCAAAGGACTGAATTCTGGAACCACTGATGAACTTCAGAGGTATCAGGTCTACCTTCCTTCTATTTAAGGCAAAATTCATTGATTCTATATGATGGCTAGTAAGAACCAATAATATTTTATATATCATGATCATCATTTCATAAGACTTTCTCAGCTATAAGTGCTTGTGGTCACCTAGAGAAGCTAAAGATATGTTTCAGAAAATTTATAAGCCCCACTGGTATCTAAATTGTATGTTTTTTTTTTTTTTTTTCTGGTACTGGGAATTGAACTTATGACCTCGTGCTTACCAGGCAGGCGCTGTGCTGCTGAGCTAAATCCCCAGCCCCTCTAAGTTGTATGTTTGAACACATATCCATTTTGTCTTGAAGGGCATCCATAGCTTTAATCCAGCATTTGGAGATATCTATGTGTATTTGCTCTTTTGATTACTAGTCCCAATTAAGCCTTCTAATTGTTTAAGCAAGTCAAGAACTTTAAGACAAATGCTATTATAATAAAAATGAATATGAATAAATAGTCATATTTGAAATAGTGCATTCTTAGAATATTCTTGTCTTTTTTCTTCCCTGGAACCACACGTTTGATTTTCTCTCATTCTTCATTTTGTTTTTTTTTCTTTTGCAAGTATATCCTTCTCAATAATGTTATTAAATAATTGAGCTTCTTAAAGAGTAACACTAGAGGCACCTTCTTTCTTCTGTCCTTATACTATCTAGGAAATTTCATCCAAGCCACAGTTGTAAATTTTTTGTTCTGTTTTGTTTCTGTTTTTAGAGACACGGTCTGGCTATGTAGCCCAGACTGGCCTCAAACACTTATCATCCTGGCTTGGCCCAGCAAGTGCTGGAACTATATGCATGAGCCACCATACCCAGCTAATACCATAGTTTTAAAAACTAAGAAGTGATTACTGCCATATTTATATCTCCAGGCCTAATATCTAGGTTCCAAATGTATGAAAGTGATTCTTATATAACAGCTCTGCAGAGACGTCTCAGACTCAGCATGTGCATAATGGACTAATCATCTCCTTGCCTCTCTCTTCAGTCTTGGTATTCTTTCCTTGTTCTTTATCTCAGAAAATGCAATGGGTCACTACTGGTTACATAAATCAGAAAACTAAGAATTTGACCAAGTCATTCTTATATTTTCTAGAATTTTCTGTATTGATCTAGATTTTTTTTATATGGATCTGTAGGGAGAAATCTGCAGTGATATTTGGAAGGCACAGGTGATTTAGAGGGAACATAACAACCTGGCGATCTCACTGGCTGGTTTGGACCCAAAACTATTTTGTCTTCTCCAACTCTTAGGGCAGGTGCACAGGTAGTTCTGTGATAAAAGGTACCATTTTTTCTTACAGGTCATCCACACTCACAATGTTGGAGGCAGTGAAAGAAAGGTGGAGATTCCAATTTGCCTTTTCCATTTCTGTTTGTGCTTGTAAATTTTGTGGCTTAAGCTCATGTCCAGATTTCCCTTCCAAATGGTCACCCTGCTGAGCTAGAGACTTGGGGTTAATACCACTTATAGAAGCAAGAATCTTGCATAGACTTCTTTTCCAGCTACCACAATTATATAAGGGTTAATTCCTATAATAAATCTACTTATTATCACCATAGCGGTTCCATGGCTTTGATTGAGCCCTACCTCATACTTGCTCTTGCAAAAATATTAGCTGCACTATTTTCTTTGTTTGGTCATTAGATTGTAAACCCCTTGAAGACAGGGACATGGTCAGATTTGAGTTTGTTTTTCTGTGACCCGGTAGAGTGCCTGACAATTTGGAACATAAAATCTCTGTTGCTTTGGAAGGAACAATGACTTAAAGGATATGAAACAGTGTCAAATAGCAATGCTCACCAGTGATTTTCTGGAGACACTTTCAACAAAGTACGGGAAGCCCACATTAGCATAGAAGTGCCATAGTTATGGCTCAAGAGTGAGGAAAACACAATGTAGTGACTCTAGCTGAGGTTGCACAGGCCATAGCTCTACTAGCTGAGTTTCTGAGTATTGCCTGGGACAGGTAAGTTCAGTAGTCCCTCCTTAAAGAACTGCATTCTATAAACTAAGAATGGACAATCAAGTAGAAACAGTAACAAAAGCCGAACTACGAAAATCCCAGAACCAGATGAATTCACCATAGAATTCTACCAGAACTTCAGGGAAGGTCTAGTGTCAGTACTCTTCAAACTCTTCCATGAAATTGAAAGAGAAGGTTGGTTGCCAAACTCATTCCTGGAAGCTAGCAATACTCTGATAACAAAATAGGATTAGGACTTAACAAAAAAGGAGAAAGAAAGAAAGGATGGAAGGAACAAAGCAAGTGAGCAAGCAAGCTGGCTACAGGTCAATCTCCTTCATGAACATAGGTGCAAAAATTCTCAACAAGATACTGACAAACAGAATGCAACAATCATTGAAAAGATCATACATCATCACAAAGTTGGTTTCAGCCTGATGGGGTTATAGGTGCAGCATTTTGTAAGTAGCTAGATCCAGAATGTGTGATGCTGGGATTAAGGATGTGATGCTGAGACTGATTCACAGTGTGATGCTAGGATTTAGGGTGCCCCACCCTGGGTGTAAATGCTACCTGCCCCAGTGGTGGGTAACCTGGATAGAATAAAAGGAATAGAAATAAGGCTGCTGTTGTCTCTTGCTGCTGCTTCCTCACTATTTTGCTGGTTTCCTGCTTTCCTGCCTCTGTCCACCATGAGCTGTCTCTCCTCTGCTGTGCTTCTCTCTGCCTTTTCACCTTGCCTTGGAGTCAGCCAACTAGGAACTGAAACCTTTACAAACTGTGACCCAAAATAAACCTTTCCTCTTTTAACCTTGGGTATCAGGTATTTTGTCTCAATAATGAGAAAAGTAACTAAGACACCATTTATGACAGACCCACTGCCAACATCATACTATGGGGAAAAACTGAAAGCATTTCCTTTAAAGTCAGTAACAAGACAAGGGAGCTCACTCTCTCCACTCCTGTTCAATGTAGTACTTGAAACATTAGCCAGGGCAATCAAGCAAGAGAAAGAAACGAAGTGTAGAATAGGAAAGGCAGTCAGACTGTACATATTTGCAGATGACATGACCCTTTACACAGAAGAGTCCCCCCAAAAACTTCAGCCTGGCATGGTGGCGCAGGCCTGTAATCCCAGCACTCTGGAGACTAAGGCAGGAGGATCATTCAAATTCAAGACCAACCTGGACTACAAAGTGAGCTCAAGGTCAGCCTGAACTGCACAGAGAGACCCTCTCTCAAAAAAAAAATTCTTAAAACTAATAAATTCAGTAAGGTAGCAGAACACAAAATCAATATACAGAAATGAACAGTGTTCTTTTATAGCAGCAGTGAATCCACAGAGAAAGAAGTCAGGAAAACAATCCCATTCACAGTAGCTTCAAGAAATTTTAAATACTTAGAAATTAACCTAATGAAGTAAGTTAAAGACTATAGTACTCTGAAAAAAGAGAGGAAATCAGAAAATGGAAAGACAAAAAATGGAAATACATCCTGTTCCTGGATATGCAGAACCAATACTGTCAAAATGGCCACATTATCAAAACTAATACATAGATTTAATGCAATTGCAATAAAAATATTAATGGCGTTCTTGGTAAAATTAGAAAAAAAAAAATCCCAAAGCTTTTATGGAACCAGAAGAGACTCCAAATAGCAAAAGCAATCCTGAGTAACAAGAACAAAGCAGGAGGCATCCCAATCCTGGACTTAAATTATATTACAAAGCTAAAGTAATATAAACAACATGGTACCAGCACAAAAAAGTGTGTGGATCAGTGGAATAAATAGAGGATGCAGAAACAACACAGGAGCATTCAACCATCTGATCTTTGTCAAAGGAGCCAAAAACATGCACCTAAGGAAAGATAGCCTCTTTAACAAATGGCACTGAGAAAACTTGTTATTCATGTCCAAACAATGACTCTAGATCCATATCGCTCACCCTGTACTAAAATGAACTAAAAATGTATCAAAGATCTAAATATTAAAACAGTGCCGGATGTGGTGGCACATGCTTGTAATCCCAGCACTCGGGAGGCTGAAGAGGAGGATCGCTGCGAGCTCGAGGCCAGCCTGGGCTACAAAGTGAGCTCAAAGCCAGCCTGAACTGCATAGTGAGACCCTCTCTCAAAAAGACCAAAAAATAATAAATAAATAAATAAATATTAAAACAGAAACAATCTGTTGCAAGATAAAATAGATAAAATTCTTAAAGACATAGGCATAGACAAGTACTTTCTGAATGGAGCCCCAGTTGTACAAGAAATAACACTAACAATCAACAAATTGAATCATATCAAATTAAAAATTTCTATATAGCAAAGGAAACAACTACAAGTGAAGAAACAACCTACAGAACAGAAAAAAAATTTGCCGGCTACTTTTCAGAGGACTAATACCTACAAGATATAAAGAACTAAAAAAATTAGACCACCCCCAAATAAAAGATTCAATCAAAAAATGGGCAACTAAAATGAATAGACACTTCTCAGAAGAAGTAAAAATGACACATAAATGCATGAAAAAAATGTTTGACATCTCTGGCCATTAACAAAATGCAAATTAAAAAAACACTGAGGTTCCTTCTTACTGCAGAAAGAATGGCTATCATTAAGAAATCAAATAATAACAAATACTGGTGAGGCTGTGGGCTAAAACAGCCTTCTACATTGCTGGTGGGAATGTAAACTAGTACAGCCATTATGGAAATCAGTATGAAGATTCTTAAAAAAACTAAAAGTAGAAATTTCATTCAACCTAGCTCTTCTCTTCCTAGGCATCCTTCTGAAAGAGTTAAAGACATTGTATACATGGTGATACAGCACACCCATGTTTATAGCAGCAAATTTGTAATTAAATGATGGAAGTGCCCTATATGCTTAGCAACAGATGAATGGGCATATACATGGAGCTATACATATATAATACATTAGATATATGAAGAAAATGTGGCACACATACTCAATGAAGTACTACTCAGCCATAAAGAAGGATAAATTTGTGTCATTCGTAGGAAGATAGTTGCACCTTGAGTTCAAATGCTAATGAAATGAATCAGACACAA